AGAGCTGCAAAGGTGATACAGCGCAGCAGTGGAAAATAATAAATAGTCTAACAGGTAGAACTAGCAAGGGCACTGTGGATAAGATTGAATCACATGATAACAAGCTTATCTCTGACCCAGCTGTTGTCGCTCAAGTTATCAATGACTACTTAATCTCTGTACAATCTGGACAAATGACAGGAATAGGTACAATCGTATCTGGTGTTCTACCGCCGCTTAAAATCCAACCACGATCATTTTTTTTATTACCTACTACAGTCGAAGAAGTAAATGCCGTAATAACTAGCCTAAAAAACAAAAAATCCTCTGGTTATGATAACATAACAGTGGATTGTGTCAAAAGATGTGTAGATGTAATTTCCCCTGCCTTAGTCCACGTTATAAATTTAAGTTTTGTAAATGGTGTTTTTCCGCATAAATTGAAATCAAGTATTGTAGTTCCAATATGGAAAAAAAGTAATAACTTGAAACTTGACAATCTAAGACCAATAAGCCTTTTGTCTGTGTTCTCTAAAATATTTGAAAAGATATGTAAAATATGTTTGTTAAATTTTTTAAATAATTTAAACTTTTTTAGCAACAGACAATTTGGGTTCATTAAAGGTAAATCTACAGAAGATGCTTTGATTACAGTTACTGAACAAATTTATAACAACTGCAACTTAAATTTAAAGACTACAGGGCTGTTTATAGACTTTAAAAAAGCTTTTGATTTTGTGAATCACACAATTCTATTAAACAAATTAGAAGCTGCCGGTATCAGAGGTGTGGCCTTAAATTGGTTTGAAAGCTATTTAACTCAGAGGAACCAACAGGTAAGAATTAAAAACAATGTCAGCCAACCCCACATTGTAAGATCGGGTGTTCCACAAGGTTCAGTGACGTCAAGCACTTTATTTTTAATTTTCATAAACGACCTTTTGGAATTACCATTCAGAGGAAGGATCAATGCTTTTGCAGACGACGTTGCTTTATTTTACTCGCATCAAAGAGAGCAGGTCATATATGAAAGCATTACACACGACTTGGTGCTGCTGAGAAACTGGTGTGTAAAAAATCACATGGAAATAAATGTCAGTAAAACAAAATATATCAACTTTGATTTTTCAGGTTTTAAGTTCTTATCTCCAATAAAATACCATGCGCATGACTGCAATGCTACTATATGCGATTGCCAAGCTATTGAACAAGTAGCTAGTTTCAAATATCTTGGCGTCACATTAGACGAAAAAATGAACTGGGATATACACATTAACAACCTCCATAACACAATCAGATCAACAGTGAGAACTTTTTACTATTTACGAAATTTTTGCAATACTTCACTTTTGAGAACTTTATATTTTGTCTTGATTAACTCTAAATTACAGTACGGCATAATCTGTTGGGGAAGTGCTTTCAAATATTTAATAGATCGGTTGAGAGTCACTCAAAACTTTTTTATACGCATAATACTGAAGAAAAATGTTAGGGAGAGTTCATCTCCACTCTACAAGGAATTAAAATTATTACCTATACAACATTTATTTATTTATAAAGTATTAAGGGTTTTTTACGTAAGAAGTGGCAATAAAAACATCGAATACAGACATTATGGAACGAGAAGTACTACACAAGGGATTTTTAAATTGCCAAAAGTAAATAAAATATTATTTAGAAGGTCATTGTTGTATCTAGGTCCGAAACTTTTCAACCAATTACCTACAGACATAAAGCAGTTAAATTCAAAGAAAACCTTTTTTCAACAGGCTTTTAAATGGTTATTAGAGAAAGACGATGTTAGTCAGATGAGCTCTGTACTCATTTAGGTGTAAGTGTGAATGAGAAGTATAACTGTGAAATAAATGAGTAGTGTGAGTGAATTAGCTATGCATCCGAATCCAGATGTACCACGGGGACAGTGCATTGACGGCCCTAGGATACCCCGGGGCTACCAGCCGCCCGTTGGTCACGGAGAGGGTTTGTAGCATAGCCGATTATAACATGACCCTTGGTTAGATAGCAGTAAGATAATAATGGTAATGGTAATTTAATAAAGAGTGAGTGAGAGAGTGAGTGAGTGAGTGAGTGAACGTATGTGTGTGTGCGCCTACAAATGAGTAGATAGTGTTATCGGTAGGCCTCATCCTTGTTGCACACTTCATTATTTAGATTGGGAATGCGAGAGTAGAGATAAAAACAAAATTTTGGAAATAGCATGATGCTTGATGTTGTCCATAAAATTACCTCATCTAAATGTAATTTTAATTTGAATTTAAATTAAGTATTGTTTTCTTTGATTTTTTAGTTTAAGTATTTAGCTTTATTAAGAAAAGGATTGTCAAACATCACAGAGAGCAGGTGTCATTTTTTATGTTGAGCTAGGCTGATTTAATGTTTATTTTTAGATTATTATAATTTATTCTACTGACCACACAACTTGTTAAAGTGGTCAGTTATATTTCCAATATTACAAATGTTCATACATTGTTAATTTTTGATGGAAATAAAATCATTTATTCATTTATTCATTTATTCATAAGTGTGGAGGTAAGTTACAGTTGTAGATAGAATGGTAAGCAGGTAAAGTAGAGATATTGTAGATGTATAAGTGTGGAGGTAAGTTACAGTTGTAGATTGAACGGTAAGCAGGTAAATTACAAACAGTGTAGATGTATAAATGTGGAGGTAAAGTTACAGTTGTAGATAAAATGGTAAACACGTAGATTATAGATAATGTAGATTTATAAGTGTGGAGGTAAGTTAACGTTGTAGATATATAATGGTATTCAGGTAAATAACAGATATAGTAGATGTATAAGTGTGGAAGTAAGTTACAGTTGTAGATATAATGGTAAGCAGGTAAATTATAGATATTGTAGATGTATAAGTGTAGAGGTAAGTTACAGTTGTAAAGTAGGTAAATTACGAACAGTGTAGATGTATAAGTATGGAGGTAAGTTACAGTTGTAGATAGAATGGTAAGCAGGTAAAGTAGAGATATTGCAGATGTATAAGTGTGGAGGTAAGTTACAGTTGTAGATTGAACGGTAAGCAGGTAAATTACAGACAGTGTAGATGTATAAGTGTGGGGGTAAGTTACAGTTGTAGATAGAATGGTAAGCAGGTAAATTACAAACAGTGTAGATATATAGTGTGGAGGTAATTAAGTTACAGTTGTAGATAATATGGTAAGCAGGTAAATTACAAACAGTGTAGATGTATAGTGTGGAGGTAATTAAGTTACAGTTGTAGATAATATGGTAAGCAGGTAAATTACAAACAGTGTGGATGTATAAATGTGGAGGTAAAGTTACAGTTGTAGATAAAATGGTAAACACGTAGATTATAGATAATGTAGATTTATAAGTGTGGAGGTAAGTTAACGTTGTAGATATATAATGGTAAGCAGGTAAATAACAGATATAGTAGATGTATAAGTGTGGAGGTAAGTTACAGTTGTAGATATAATGGTAAGCAGGTAAATTATAGATATTGTAGATGTATAAGTGTAGAGGTAAGTTACAGTTGTAAAGTAGGTAAATTACGAACAGTGTAGATGTATAAGTGTGGAGGTAAGTTACAGTTGTAGATAGAATGGTAAGCAGGTAAATTAGAGACTGTGCAGATGTATAAATGTAAAAGTAAGTTACAGTGAAGATCAAATGATAAGCAGGTAAATTACAGACAGTATATATTTAAAAGTGTGGAGGTAAGTTACAGTTGTAGATAATATGGTAAGCAGGTAAATTAGAGACTCCGCAGATGTATAAGTGTAAAAGTAAGTTTCAGTAGTAGATAAAATGATGAGCAGGTTAATTACAGACAGTGTATATTTTAAAGTGTGGAGGTAAGTAGATAGAATGGTATGCAGGTAAAGTACAGATATTGTAGTTGTATGAGTGTAGGTGAGTTAGGTACAGTTGTAGATAGAATATAAGCAGGTAAAGTGGAGATAATGTAGATGTATAAGTGTAGGAGGTAAGTTACAGTTGTAAATGGAATAGTTAGCAGGTAAAGTACAGATAGTGTAGATATATAAGTGCAGGAGGTAAGTTACATTTGTAGAGAGAATGTTGAGCAGGTAAAGTAAAGATTGTAGATGTTTAAGTTTAGAGGTGAGATACAGTTGTAGATAGAATGGTAAGCAGGTAAAGTAGATATACCGGTAATGTAGATGTATAAATGTACAGGTAAGTTACAGTAGTAGTTAGAATGGTAAGTAGGTAATTAAAGTACAGATAGTGTAAGATATACAAGTGCAGTGAGGTAAGTTACAGTTGTCGCTTGAATGGGGTGAAATTTAACCCATTGGGGGAGGAATTAATGCACTGCCTAGAGTGCCCTCTGTAGGCAATTATTTTTACCGAATTTGTAGACTTCTACTCTAATTTTTATTGACTGAAAATTGTAGGGAATCAATTGAACTTTATAAATTTAGTCTCATTTGGTGTTTGGATTAATCTTGGAATTTGTAAATCAAGTTAACTTTTAAAAATTGTTTTAAAAATTAACTTGATTTACAAATTCCAAGATTGATCCAGAAACCAATAAATGAGACTACTGTTTAGTTGAGTTTAGAATATTGATTCCCTACGTAGAAAAATCACAAGTAGCTTACTTTTATAAGTAATAACATAGAAAAAATTGTTGTTTTACATTACCACAGCTGATTTTGGTTGTATTTGGTTTCCATGGCAACACAACCTGTTGGTTATTTGCAAAAATAAATGAGTATATATGCAAAACAAGAAGCTATATATTTATAAACATCATAAAAGTAAGAAGAAATAAAAGGGGGGAAAATATTAATAATTAAATAACCAGTGGCACTGCATAGCAGTGAAACAAGCGGCACTGCATAGCAGTGACACGAGCGGCACTCGTAAGTCAGCCGCCGGGCCTGCAGCGGCCGTACGAGTGGATAGAATATGGTAAGCAGGTGAAGTACATACACCGTTTCCCAAACAAGAAAACTTCAAAAATGCCATTTTTTCTAATTTTATATCTTTTGTTCACAGCTGCAATGCTGCGGAGTGGAGAGCGGAAATGACTTTACTGCGTCCTGGTGGAGACTGCGAGAACTAGCTCCGGCGTCGCTGGTTGTGCCTCTGTCTTGCTGTGTACAACAACATCCTGTTGCCTTCCTGGACCCTCGGCCTGTCAATACTAGCCTGTGTCAACATGAGGACGTGGAACAGTACAGGCTGGCCAGGAGTGTGGAGGTAACATATCTCTAAATCATATCTAGATGTATCTTCATTCTCCCGAGCAGACGGTCTCAGCAGCAGGCCCGCGAATTGCATGGGATGCACTATGGGCCTGAGTGATATTGCCCCCTCCACTGTTCATTTTGGGGGGATTTTTCTATTCCTTGTGCCCTCCTACTAACCTTTAAACCTCTTGCGCCGTTGCTTACTAAAGCGATCCTACTTGACTAGGGTTCTAGGGCTTCTGTCTTTTATTTGTCCACTTTGTGTCTTCTTGGGAGTATGAATTTATTCTCAAATATTCCTCGTTGGATTTTTTCAGAAAATATAACATTAACTTGCCTCGGTATTAATAACTTATATTCTGAAAGCTAGTTTGATCCCATGCTTTTAGGCTGTGCTGCAGGAGGTGGGAATAATCTATGCCCGAGGATGGCATTTTGATGCCGAAACGGCTGTAATATACGGAAACTTCAGAGCTATGATGAGGTAATTGTATTATAGTTATTGTAGTCATCAATTCAGCTTAGGGCTGAATACACAATAACTCACAAAATGTCAGGGACTTTTGTTAAGACAGACCCCCTAATCGTACTACTATAGATATCAAATCACGACGGGGAATTTTGTTAAAGCAGACCCCTTAGCCAACTGCTAAAGTTTGCGGTATAGATTTTAAATATTACGGCACATAACACTGAATTTGATTTGGCATATGAATTTGAACGGATGGTGTTTTTGGCAGCTAGATTTTAACATGTCAAAGGAATTTATAATTTAAAATTTATTTTATTTTATAATTTTTAATTTATTTTATTGTGTTTTGATAGTCTAAGCTTAGTAGGTACTTCTTAACTTTACATATTTAGATTCTCGCTTGTTTCAGGGTTGTTTCAACAAACTTTCATCATGGCTGCAGTCTCACATCTCTCTTGGGCTAACAGCTGGTCTTGCCTTGCTGAGTCTCCAGTTACTTCTTCTTCTGCTCACTGTTGTGTCTTGTGTTAAGAGAGCGCAGGCCCCTGCACCACCACCGGCTCTACCTCCTAAACTACTCAACAAGGTACTTGATCACTATGACTAGGGTAAAGAAACTTATTAAAAGTTGATCAAGATTTAAAAACCAATAATTTAACGATTCTCTATTTGTGATTTCATAAAAATACAAGGGTGTTACAAAACATATAGGGGGCATTTTTGCGTGTACGCCACAAGCAGGCTCCTCCCCACTTACTGCCATCATTTGTGAATAGAATGGGATCATTTTCAGCTCTGTAACTAACGTGTACACTTTGCTGTGTGTCTAGAAAATGTTTAACATTATTGAATCTCCTGCCGCTTGTGAGATCTCCCACCAGTCAGTGACATGTTTTTTGCTGCAAGAAACATTTTGGCTGCAGAATTCATTGCCAGATGACTGATGCTTATGGCCTTATTGCAGTGAGTGAGGGTAAAGAGCAGTAATGAGTTAAGGATTTAAAAGATATCTATGAAAATCTCAATTTTAGAAGAAATTGTGTTTTTGGTAGGTACCCTGACCTGTCACATACACCACAAAGGAAAAATGTTTTCCTGGCCATTTTTACACTTTCTAACCCAACTCGCATGTGGCAGGAGAATCAGTAGTTTTAAAAGCTTTCTAGACACTCAGTACAGTAAAATGTACACCTCAAGCCCCGTCTCCACCAACCGAACATATCCGCTGAACACTGTTCGCATACATAAAAAAACGGACAAATATTCCACAATTAGTCTGTAAAAAATGTTCGACGGACATTTTCAGTAGCTCACGGACTGTTTGCTTATAGTAGACCCCCTCTTAACCGACCCTAATGGGACCGGACCTAGGTCGGATAATTCAAAAGGTCGGATAAAACGGGCAATCCCTAAAATCATAACATAATGAAGTGCTATTCATTTAGAGTTATATAATCGTTATTTTGAAGTCATACTTGCATTATTTACAAAATAAACTACTCTTATCTCCTTTTTCATATTGATATAAATGTCACAAATAATAAACACAAATCATGGTTAAGTCAAATAGGCCTACTTTCAGTGAATATATTATAATACTAGGCAAGAGTCAATAAAATTCCTATTTTAATAACTTTACTACTGTAGTGTATTAATTAATGCTTTTCAAATACATCGTAATACAGTACAGAACCTTTTGTCGTCATTAAGGATACAAGCGACAATTTTGTTACAAGACAGGACGTTTATTTATGGCCACTCACTGGAGGTTCGAGGCACAAAAACTCTCTTGACCTTGGAGTTGTTAACACCCCTTCCCTGTCCTCCCTACAAGTTGTGTTGTTTGTTTACTCCAGCCATAAGATAATCAGTTCTCAAAATCGTAACGCACTTTATGATGTTATAAATTTGCCGCACAGATAACATATCTGATTAGATGTGCTCGAGCTACAAACGATGATGACAAACTGACAATAGGCTATGCTATATTTTTTGTGATCAACACAAAATAACTTATTGTTAGTCATATCCTGTGGAGATAAGCGTATGGTTCAGTTCTCATCGCCCAGCGTGGGAGCGGAAATGCCGAGATTCCTAGAAAGCGGCGGTTAAACCGAGCTGCTCTCAAATCAAGGTCGGTTAAAACAAACTGTATTATTTTACGATCAAAGGCGGATAATCCGATTATCGGTTAATACGAGGTCGGTTAAGAGGGGGTCTACTGTAAGAGAATCAGACATTTTGATTAGTTGGTGATCTTCTGTAGTGATGAGTACATCTACATCGTGTCCACTCGTCGACCTCCTCATTGGTGACAGAGACAACTGTTTAGAGGAAGAAATGAGTGAAGTGACCATTTTCGTGCAGAACTAACAACAGAACTGTGAAGTTCCTTATTCACAAATTATACAAGGGTGTGTAGTGAGGATTTCAAATTACTTATATTGGGCCAACTATTTTAAATCAAGATACTAATTAACACAATGCTATAATCAACCGAAACTGAATTGACAATCAATAAAAAACTAATACAAAACACTATGTCTTAAAAAAATCACAAGCAAAATCCAAACAATCATTAAAAAATGCTGCTAGTCGCACGAAGAGAAACTGTTCTGTAAATCAGTCAACAGTTTATTATTTACAACTAAAAGTCCTAAAGATATTTTCATAAAATGTAACGCTCCTGTTCCACATAAGAGATTGCATTTGTGGCAAACTAATGTTTTGCTTTGACTTAAGCCCGGTTTACACGCTACGACAAAACGTTGCATGCAAGACGGAAAGTGTAAACTGGAAGTCGTTACGTTTTGTCTGAGTTGGGGTGAGGTTGGAAGGTTGGTGGAAATCTCCACCAATTTCTGTAGATGGTAGCTACAAGTCGTTACGTGGAAACAGTGACTCAGTCATCGTTGCAACCTGTAGACCCGCACTTGCCAATCAAATATCACCTTGCATGTTTCAGGTATTATTTTTTAGAGGGATGGTTTAGAAATTTGTTTTGTGAATTCCAAGTCTTTGTAACTTCTACCAGTTGCAAGGAATCGTAACATTGCACAAGTCTTTCATAGGGAGATACGGTACTGCCTTTCTTGTTTTTTTGTTTTTTTTTATTATGGAGAAACCATGTTCAATAAATCGTTATTTTGTCAATTTGATTACTGTAAATCATGGAGCTCTAGTTGATCTGCTCTTAGCCATGTGTTTCTAGGAATAGAAACATTTTCTTTACAACCGCTTTCTTCAACCTCCATTATATCTTCATGTTGTTCAGGTCAGGTGGAGTTTGTAGCTTATTTTGGGTTTTTAACAGAAACCTCATGTGATTCAACAGTTTTTTTTGTCAATTTGATCATCATTATTATATTATCCTCTTTTTTAATTATTTCAATCTGAGCACCAGACAAATTAACTTCCTTCTACCTCATTTGCTGATGGAGCATTGCGATGAGTATTTTGTAGTATAAAATAAGAGTAGGAGTAAAAACTTTTCCTTTACAATCGCTTTCTTCAACCTCAATCATATCTTCATGTTGTTCAGGGAAGGTGGAGTTTGTAGCTTATTTTGGGTTTTTAACAGAAACCTCACGTGATCATCATTATACAAACATACCATCCTCTTTTTTGAGTATTCTCAAACTGAGCCTCGGAGAACTTCTGTCTCATTTGCCAATGAAGCATTGCGATCGGCATTTCGTAGTATGCTGCCCCAGCAATTTTCAGCCCACTTCTGAACTAAAAGACCAGTAACTCTTCTGGTGTGATAGGAGTATTCATTTCTGGGGTCATATTTGTGTGTGTGCTTGACAACTGCATGGATGGGGGTTATAGCTGTTAATATTTAGTGGTTTTAAATCTTCCCTGCAGCTTTGGCAAAGGCAAGGTTGGAGGATGCCTTTAGCCTTTCTTGCGGATAACCAGGATTTCATTAAGGCCAACCTCAGAAGCTCTTCCACATGAGATCAACACATATCTCATATGTGATTCAACCATAGTGTTGTATGCTGTCGTGGCAGTTTTCCAGCTCTCCTAAACCATTTGTTTTACTTTATAAGCCCTAGATGAAAACTTGTAGGGCACATAGATAAGCGAAGTCTCTGGGATGTGAGCTTTTTGTGGTAGTTTTTTCTGCTAGAGTTAGTCTGTCACTCCCACTTCATATTTCACTAGACAGTTTTCTAGCGTAGTTTAAGGCGTAAGGCTCCAAGAAGGTCCTTTTTTGCACTTTAACCTCTTCATCATAAACGATATCTATTTCTTCCCGTTTTCCTACTACTTTTACTGAGAAAAGCATGGTCCAATATTTGTCTTAGAGTTGTTAAGAGTAAGATGCCGTTTTAGCATAAGGTGTGTTAAACTTGTTATCCCAGTTTTTCAAAAACCAAATATGATACCATTTTGCATTTTGTATGCTAAATTCACATTGAAAATTTGTTTGACTTGTTTCAGGTTCACAACTCATTTCCTTACAGTGGTTCCTGAAAGTTTGTTTACAAAAGAAGTTGAACAAAGAAGCTTAACTAACTAGGTTGGCTTTGCTTATTTTTTATTGTAGGTTTACTAATCAGAGATTTTGTTAAGTAAAATGCCTTTTATTGATTTAAGTGTCATGTGTACAAGGCAAAAAATTACTACTAGGGTTTTTTTAAATTTAAATTTTTTAATAATATTTACAAATCCTTTATTTTGAGATAAGAGAATGTTTTGAGGACACAAGTTTTATTTCACTCTTGGCATTATAAAAATCACATTTGTAGTTTACCTTTGAAACACAAATTTAGTATTTTTTAAATATTTGTACAAACCAATATTTTGTGAAGAAAATTACCTATGTACTTACTAACTGTTATTCATACAACACAAAATTTGGTTTTACAAATTTCAAATGTCATAAAATGCTAGTTCATTAATTTGTAAAATTTTGCATTTACTTAGAGATATGACCTGCAAAATATGTAAATAGATTTTATGACTTGTATTTGTTATGTATGATTTGTAAGTTTATTCATTGTTTTTGAATACTGAAGTAGACACCCCATATATATAGACCAGCCATGGTATGGTAATTTTCCTTCTTGAAAAGAACATAGTTAATGAACCATCAATTGTGATATTATTCAAGATTTTTCTATTTCATTTGCAAATGTTCACTCGTTGAAATTTCTGTTCATAACAATTAATTATTATGCTACAAAGTTTCATCTGCGATTTGGTATTGCTAAAAAGTTTATTCACAAAAAAAAAAAAAAATAAGACACCTTCACATTTTATAGCAGCTCACTTTTTTGGCTAAATTTGTAAAAAGTTATTTTTATTCTGGATTTAGGAATGTCTACCTCTAGTATTTATTGTTCTATATCTATTTGTCATCAAATTTTTCATTTTATGTTTGAATATTTTTTATAGGTTTTAATCAAGTATTACTGATAATGTAAAGTAGTATTAATTGTATTATTAGAATTAGACACATTAATGTTTTATACACTGCCATCGTTATTACCGCAGTATTGTTAAAGATGTACTTAGTATACTATGCGTAAAGTAAGTACAATATTTTATAATAGCAGTATGAATTGAAATCCAGAAAGAGATTTTACATTACTCTTTCAAATTCTCTGTAAAGTGTTTTAGGGTTTCAAGATTGATATATATTAATGAAGCACAGCATACCACATATGTAAGTTTTAGTGTTCACACAACAATAGTATTAATAATTTTAAAACCTGAAATACCGTATTGAAATTATGAGACTCGGCCATAAAATTAAGGTCTTTGTTGAGCTTCTATCGGGACTAAGCAAGATAGTTAAACTCTGAGACAAATGCTGTGCTCTTTACTCTCCACAACGATTATAGTCAGTTCCAAACCTGATGCAACAGATATCATCGTCGTAGCACCCAAAAATAAAGGAAAATCTATGCTCCAGCCAAGAACTCGATAGTTCACCGTCTCATGAAAAGCACACGAGAGATCTTGCTTGGATCGGCACTGAAAGTGTGGCTCCTTGCCTTTCTGTATTACTCACACGAAGAATGCTTTAATGAAAATCTTACTCACAACTGACGCCAAATAATCTTAACTATTGTTATTTTCAAAATACTACAATCTAACGCTATTTGTAATCTCAACGATGATTCTCGATTCAGACAGTGACAAAATTCAGAGAAACATTGCATGTGGATTGTGGTGTAACTGAACGAGAGATTGCTGCACTGATAAACCTTGTAGTCTGCAACTCGCCAATCAATAAACAAAGTTTTCTCAGCTTTAATCACGATCTCCAGTTTTGGCGTCAATAGCGGGTGCAGGGAGGCCGGCGAGCTGGGGGAGGAGGGCCCGTGAGCCTTGATCGGGTTTTGCAGGAAAATTTTAGTGGACCCTGACCAGCTATGGGCCTTGCCGCAAGGGCCCCCCTTTCATAACAATATTTATATGAGTAATACCATGGCGGCAATAAGAACCCTCGGGCCCTCCGCAAGTTTGTTCAGTGCGTCCCCCTCTCCCAATAATCTTTAGAAACATTATGATAGGTGCCACATAAGCTTGCACTTGGGATTGGCACAGAATATTCCGAGGAATCGAGGCGTCATCATTGTCTGCCATGATCGGCCTCAATGGAAACTGATTACCGTATGTACTTCTGGACTCTTTGTCCTATGTGTAACTTATAGCCTTCTGCACTAACTCTCTAAGCCACTTATGTACATTTTTTTTATACCCTTTCTCTGTATCATTCTGTCACTTGGTGACGGATTTCAACAGAGGTTGACCTTCGTCCTACGGAAAGGTTTAACCATGTGCTACTGGTTCATACTTGACGAGAGAGTTGATTTTCCCTCAGATTGTTTTTGGCTACTTTGATAAGATTAATTGTCACATAAAGGTGTGAGACGGCTAGATTATTGGGGATGAGATAAAGAACACTTCATTGGTCTCAGATATTAACTCGTTGGAGACTTTAATTCATAGATAGCTCTCTAAGTTTAAAAATAAAAAAATTGCTAGAATTATTGTAATATGTTACTAGGTACGTTTTTTGAAACTTAATGCAAAATGAAAATTGATTTGAAGAAAATCATATAGTATGTGTTATTATGAAGAAGGTAAAAAACATAGGTAATGTTTTTAAATGTTATGAACATTTTTTTAATGATTTTAATAAGAAAACATTTTTTATAAATAAAACTGAAAATTATTTAAATGTGACTTTATTTATTTTCCCAATGGCAAGAACTAGAAAGTTGAATTATTTGTTACCTTATTTAGCAGCCTTTGTTAGGAAACAACTAACTTGCGATAACAAAGGCTACTAAATAAGGTAAGTAATAATTCAAACAAATATTGATTTGCTTATTGATAGGTACCAAATATTTAGGCTACGCGCCGAAAAGTAAGGTACAGAGGAATCACGCTTATGGGATGACCATGAGCTTTCAGCTCTGGTACATTATGTCAAAAATATAGGCCTTCTTGCGAAAAGGAAGGAGGAGTCCGAATAGTGAGCATGGTGCGGAAATTCCTATCGCAAAAGTCCAAAGGTCTTCATCCACCATGAGCATTGTACATGCGGGCAAGGGGGGCGGTGTTGGACTTTGCCCTAGACACCAGCACTAGTGTTAGACACCACTTGAGTGTTTCCTCTGTACAATACCTTACATTTCCCCAAATAATTCTATAATTCAATAACTCATTGAATTCATAATTTACCTAAACACTCAGCATACTGTACATCGCTGGAGGTTTCCTCAAACTTGTTTATAAACTAAGATAATATGTTTATAAACTAACAACAAAAGAGGATTTTTATTTTCAGTTTTACTTATTGATTAAAGTTCTAATACATTTACTTATTTACAATACATTTACAGCAATACATTTGCTAGATTTAAAAATAATGTTCAAAGTAAATGATAAAGTGTTTGCAAAAGTAAGAGGTTACCAGCCTTGGCCTGCATACATAACACAAATTGATGGGAAAAAGATTCATGTAAAATTCTTTGGAACTGATGAATTTGGTGTGTGTAGTGAGAATAATATTTTTAACTATGTCGACTACAAAACAACAAAAATGCCCGAGATAATGAAACCTTCATTAGAAAATGCAGTCAAGGAAGCTGACAAACACTGTGCCAAATGTGAAGAGGAGATTTTCTATCATAATCCAGAGATTGAAAACTTGGATGATGTTCTAGAAACTAGTATTATTGAAATTTCTGAGAAAAACAACCAGCTAAAATTTGAGAGAAAGTTAGGGCTGAAACTTCTCTGCGAGTTGCTGAACAAGAAAATGGAGAACTAATCGATGAAATTTGCAAACTTAAGAAGAAAAATGAAAACTTAAAGAATGAAATAGACATGAGAGATAAACTGATTAGGGAGCTTAAGACTAAATTAGAGGATAATAAAGAAGATTTATGTTATCTGACCCCCAAAACACTTATCAATACGGGAACTCAAACAAAAAATGAAAAAGATGCAAGCTCTTTCTCTAACTTGTTGAAAGAAGAATGCTTTGTAAAAATACAAAAGCTTGAAGACCAACTAAGCGAAAAGGAAATTTCGATTATACAGCTTAATGAAGTCATTCAAGAATTAAAATCGACAATCTCAGCCAAAGAAGGTTATTTGACCCCGAGAAACAAGACAAAGTATTCACCCAACAAATTCAACTCAGCTTTTTCTCTGCCCACTGAAAATAGATTTGATTTGTTATCTGATAGCTCTGATGATGAAATCGAAATACTTAACCAGAAACATGTTTCTCCTGCTGCTAATTTAAACTCCAAGACAAAGACAAAAACATTAAAAAAAGCCAAAAAAAGTCAATATTGAATATTGTGACAACTCAAAATGAATCAGCAAAAAACAAACCTCAGTTACTTGTGGTATCTGATAGCCATGGGAGAAATATTTCCCACATGATGGAAAATAAACTTGGGAAAGAATACAATGTATCTGTTGTGGCTGCTTCAGGAGGCAACTTCAGTTATGTAGCTAAGAATTTGAGTCAACTTACAAGAAACTTTTCAAAGAAGGACCACGCTGTATTTATTGCAGGCTGTAATGATTCTGAACAGCAAGCTCATCCAGTGAACATAGTAAACAGTTTTAGTCTTAAAAATCTTATCAATGTTTCCTCAAGGACAAACCTGCATGTTGTCAGTATCCCACATAGGTTTGATTGCAACAGATTGAATACAAAAATTGACATCATGAACAAAAACATAAAAAAATTGCTTGGAAATACAGATCTCTCCTACATTGACATAACTGATTTGCATAGAAGTTGCTTCACAAGTCATGGACTTCATCTCAACTATGGAGGTACAAAAAAAACTTGTTGAATCAATTGTAAACAGCGTTCAGGCTAACATCAAGATGCAAAGTACAGCTGTTGCTGTTGAGGAGAGTGTGTCAGCGAGACCTGCGAGGTCAACACCTGCTGCAATGTCGCTGAAGGAATTCCCACCACTTCCCTCACAATCCAGTAACGGACTCGAGCCAACCTCTCTGGCTGAAGAGCTAGAGCATGCTAATAACATTGCTCTGGTTGAGGCAGATATGAGGGAGTACCTTGAGAAATGTAGAAATGACCAAGAAACTGCGTTCGCTCACACAATATCAAGAGAT